TTTTTAAGGAATTATTTTCTTCAGTTAGCTTTTGTACTTCCTTTTCCATTTAGCCAATTCTGCTTTTAAAAGAGTTGCTTTCTTCAGTGGATTTTTTTTTCCATTTAGCCAATTCTATTTTTAAGGAGTTGTTTTCTTCAGTCAATTTTTGTGCTTCCTTTTCTAAGCTGTTGACTCTTGTTTTCATAATTCTCCAGCATAACTCTCATTTCTTTTCCCAATTTTTCTTCTATCTCTTTTACTTGATTTTGTAAGTCCTTTTTGAGCTCTTCCAAGAGTATTTTTTGGGCTTGAGATCAATTCATATTCCCCTTTGAGGTTTCACATGTAGATATTTTGACACCGTTGTCCTCTTCTAAGTTCTGTACTTGGATCTTTCCTGTCGCCACAGTAGCTTTCTATGGTCAGGACTCTTTTATGTTTTTTGCTCACTTTTAAAAGTTGAGATCTGCTACTGGGGCACAGGGGACACTGTTCCAAGCTTCTTGTTCTGGGGGCCAGGGACCTAGTCACTGGCTTACTGCACCAGGGCCTGATGTGCTGATTGCTTGCCCAGTATGCTGAGGTGGCCCAGCCTAATTGCACCTGTTGTGCACGGGGTTGTGGGACTTGCCTGCTGTGCTGGGTTTGGAAGCCTCACAGTTGGCCTGCTGTGCCGGCCTGCTAAGCCCAGACAATGGGGCTCTGATTACTGATCTGTACTGTGGCTAAGAGGCTCCTACTGGCTTGTCTGCACCCTGCCTGTGCTAGGCTGCACTCTCCTTTTACCCATATGAAACAGACTTTTCCTGAAGTCCTTCTACGTTATCTTGGGCTGGAAAATTGTTTTGCTCTGTCTTTTTGTGGATTCTGTCACTCCAGAATTCTTTTAGAGCAGGGCTCTTAAACATTTTCCACTCATGACCACTTTCACATTTTGGCAGCATTTGTTAGCATTATGCGGCCAGAGGGCATGCACAGTACAAATGCAAATACTTTGTGTTCAGAATTAAGACTGCAGTGAAGTTGAGCAATGCCACACAGGCAAGCATGGCCAGAAACACCTTGGATTCATTATGCATTTAATTTTTAATTAATTTTTGGTCATTAAGCATTCAGAAACCTTTTACTATTGCCAGCTATATGGTATTGTGACCCATAGTTTAAGAAGTGCTGTTTTAGAGGTTTGATTTAACCACTGTTTCCAAGGGAAACTGGGGAGAGCTCAGGCAGCTTCCTGACTTCTCTCTGCCATTTTGGCATCGCCCCACCCCCAAAATTTTTTTTTAAAAAACAAAATTCATAGACCCCAGGTTAAGAACCTCCTTGAGATTTAGAAGACCTGTGAGTGACTAACTCAATTTGGAATATACATCTTTACTATCCAGAATTTCTGAGGTAGAATATTCCATCGACAATTGCTCAAAGAGGATCATAAATTTGAAAAAGGATACAGTTAAGTACTATTTAACAGAGGAAAAACTGTAACTAAGGTGAGAAATGGTTATCAAATAATGGTTCCAACTCACATATAAAAATACAACATGGACAATATATACAGAAATTTATTGCAAGTAATAACTACCTTACCCATACTGAGGTCCTGGTCGGTGAAGATAAAGGAGAAAGAATTTCTGCCAAATAAGTGGCAAGAGAGGATGATCAGAAGGCGTAACCAAAGCCTGATGAGCCCAACGATAAATCAGCAGTCTCTGAAGAGATGGTACAATAGGAAGCTTCAACTGTGCCTGGGCTTTCTACAGAAGAGGAAAAAGTTTAATTTTAACAATTTATACATTCAATTCAGTCAGTCAATCACTACATTTAAGTTCTAAGAAACTTAGGATACAATATTAAAGTCCTACAAAATATCCAAATGGACTAGCTGAGTATACCATTTTCAATTTAGTTTAATAAACAACAAAGTACTTTTTATAATAAAACACTTATGAACCTCCATTTCTAGAATGCATTCCTCCTCCAGACCTAGGGATTTGACAGTATTTTTAAAAATCAGACAATTAAAAAGATACTTCTACTAAAAAGGAGTGGAGTAACAAGAAAATCTAAGTTTCACTGTCAAATCACCAGAAATCTTTGAAAATAAGGAAGTTCAGATGAGACTTCCAAAAGTTAGAAGTGGCTCAAAAGCCTGGGCACTTTACATCAAAAAGTAAAGCCTACCAGTTGAAGATCTTTAACATTCAAGAGCTGGCAAACTACAACCCAATGGTCAAATCTGGCCCACTCCTGTTTTTGTACATAGCCTGTTTCTATACAACTCACAAAAATGGTTTTTACAATTTTAAATATAATAAAACTTTATTTAAAAATGTAAAAACCTTTCTTACTTCTCAGGTGCAAGACTATGGGCTATAACTTGCTAACCTACTCTGCCTAAATCACAAAACCAATGGTAACCATTCCAAGCATATAATCAACACTGTCTCAAAATAGTTACATTACGGCTTTCATTTTTAAATAAACCTTGGAAAGGCCTGGCATAAGTGACACCTATATGCCCTTTAATAAACGATGTTTTTGTTGTGCCCTCCAAACATTTATTCCTCTTAAAAGTTACAAAACTTAAGGAAATATCTATCCCCATCAAGAGCTCAGCGAACCTCCATTTCAAACACATGAAATGATAGCTTTCTGCACCTTGAGAGCCTGTTCAGGAGTAAAAGTAGAATTAATGACCAGTTCCCCTTCAACAACTCTACGAAGCTGAGAATCCTCTTCAAAGAAAGACTCCATGTTCAGTACAATCCACGCAAGCCAAACCTGCAATCATAGCAAATAGAGGCAGTGAAAATGACCAGCTTTTTCTGAATGAGTGAATATGGTTGTAAGTATATAACAGCATTCCATTAATTTATGCTAATTTTTCTTTACTCTTTTCCACTTAATCAAAAAATATTTGCTGAAGGTGTAAAATAACTATAGTCACACTTGGTTTTGAATCCTCAAATTCAGTAAGCTTGAGTCAGAGAAGACATAAACAAATAAAAGTGAAGAATTAAATTAAAAACAAGAGATGTGATTTCTAGGTGTCAACAGACAATCACAACTTCACATAATTTACATGAAAATTAGGTTTATTACAAGAGAAATGAATACGCATGTGGAACCTAAAGAGTTTATAATACATACATAAATTTGCATATTTATGACAGTACAACAAAGGGAGGAGGAAGAAACAAAAATCTCTACCTAAAGGGGCATGGCATGGGAGGGGGAAAGGTGCACTAAAAGTGAAAAGGATAAAACACCCCCTAAAGGGGAGGAGGAAGGCAATAGCAAAAGCCACATTCTTCTCCCTTGGGAATTACTGGCATATGAAGACATGATGGTCTGTTTAGGTACAAGGGTCCTAGCTACCCAAGAAATTTCCCAGTCTAGTGCTGATTGAACTGGTGCCTGTCTTGACTCCCACAGGAAATCCAATTTGGGGTACAAACAACAAATTACATCAGTTCAAGGGGGCTTCATTCTTAACTCATTCAGGGCCTCCTAAATACTCTGGGTCCAGTGTTTCTAGAAAATGTGGTAATTCAAAAAGACAAGTTTAGGGGGCCTCTTAACATTTCTTAACATGGGTCACATGAGATAGGAGACTGGACATTTTCTAATCCGCATGACCTCTCAAACTCTCCAAAATACAAATTATGTGCCAAAGATAAAGCAACTTCAGGTGTCTCGATGGTCTAGGATAGCCAAAATCCAAAAGGCTAAATAAACAAAAACAAAAACAGGAACTGACATTCACTGATTGAAGCTCACTAAGCACCCTCCCCTACCTCCCATGCTACCAGCAACAAGGCTGCACTAGCAGACCCAAGGACATGACACAGACTTACAACAAAACACATCCCTGTACTCCTTTCGCCTCTCTCTTTTCAGTGCCATGGAGACCCCAGCTTTAGGCTGCAGAAATCTGTTTAGGCCTCAACAGTCAACCTGACCACAGCACTTCAGTAGCAAAAGTCTGCAGGGAGCTTCAACCTAGAAGTACCAGAATTGCAAAGGACTGAAGTACTGACGCCAAGTAACAGACTGAGCTGCTGGTGCTACGCCAGACAACTCAGGAACAAAGCAGGACGCACGCTGTGCAAGGGGGAAAGGGGCTGGGAGGAGGAAAGAAAACTTGGGGAGGTGGGGAAGAGAAGAGATACAGTACTCCACCAAGCAAGATGACAACATTCAGTTGGTGCCATTTCTGACCACTCAAAAGTCACTTGGAGAAAAGAGCTTAGTGAAGTATAAATTACCCAGTGTGGAAAAGAAGCTGAGATTCTCTGAGATCTAGCCACCAATGAAACCACAATTAAAAGTGGAGGGAGTCAGGAAGTGAGTGATAAGGAAAATATGGGTAGAAGAGTAGGGTAAGACCGAAAGTATCAAAGATTTCATGAAGAAAACCCAAAGACCTAGCACATAAATAGATAAATCAACATGAAAAACAGTAACAACAAAAGGAAATATGTCCTCCAGATCTAGTAAATGAGTTCAGGCACCTATGAATAAAAATTATAAAACAAAGGAAATGGGTCCAACTCTTAATGACACAGAGGAGTCTGTGGAATTTGAGAACTGAGAACTATAATATAATATTCCTGAGTGGTTTAAAAAAGAAATAAGAATTATGTGAACAGAATTTACATCATACACAGCCAAAATAATGAACAGAATAGAAAAGCTTGACTCTGCAATGGCAAGCAGAAACAAAAGAGAAAACAGATTAGGAATGCAAATACATAGAAGTGAAGGACAATTTAGAAGAATAGAAGCATAAGACAATAATATTAAAAGAAAATAAGTTCATTATGAAAGATGCAGAAACAACCTAAAGAAGAATACAACAGGACAAAAAAACCTTGATACCACAATAAAGCAAATAATAGAAGAAAACTACCTAGAACTTCTATATGTAGAAAATAAAATTCCAATTGTAAGAATTCATAGATGCCCTACAGAAAAAACAAACCAACAAACTCAAGGCTGCAAACTCCAAGCCACATAAATTTAACAATTCAATTCAGAAACAACAAATTCATTAAGCCATCAAGAAAAAGATCTTCAAATAAAAAGAAAAGGGCATTTGAATAATGTAAGACTATACCATACCCACTAGAAAAAAGGAGGAGGGTGGGGCAGCTAGGTGGCAGTGGATAGAGTTCTGGCCTTGGAGTCAAGAGGACCTGAGTTCAAATACCATCTCAGACACTTGACACTTACTAGCTGTGTGATGCTGAGCAAGTCACTTAGCCCTGATTGCCTCACCAAAAAAAAAGAAAAGAAAAGAAAAGAAAAAAGGAGGACAGAATGGAATGTGCTCCAAAGACAAATGGAACTCAGGGTGTGGCCCAGGGTGACCTAATCTGCAAATCTGAGCTGAATCATACAGGACAAAAGACGGACAACATTCAATAATAAAGAGTTTGAAGCATTTTTAGAAAGAAAACCAGAACTGAAGTGATTATTTGCTTCCCCCAATAACAGAAATGCAGGAGAAGTAAATAAATGCAGAAGGCAAGAACAGTAACAGAAATAGAATGACAATAGAGAGACCAGTAATAGACTTCTTTCTAAGTCTACTAAGAAGACAGGGGTTGAAGACAAAAATCTGGAAGGGGGTTCAGTAGCTTTATGGACAAAATCTGGTGATACCCTGCCTTGGCTAGGTAAGATTTGGATATGTAGAGGAGATAGGGAGGGCATTCCAAGTAAGAAAAGGTGAACTGAGGAAAACTACAAAACATAATCAAAAGAGTACATTATTATTATAACAGCAACTCACACATACAGCATCATATGAATAATAAAGTCCTTGCCTCATAACAACATTGTGTTGTTAGGCAGTACAAGCACCATCAGAATTCCACATTTTACACAAACAGATAATAGGACTTGGAGAAGTTGAATAACTCAAGATAAGAGGAAAAGTCAGGACTTGAAACACAATCACAATAATCATCATCATCCTCATTGTAAACGAGGCCAGTTTCAAATACGCCATGTTATCTACAGTAAACAGACCAGTGTATCTAACTACAGTAGAGGGGTTTTTTCCACATAGAGAAATCACGAAAATAAATAAATAAGGAATTAAAAAAAAAGAAATTATACAATCCTGTGCTAAAACTAAAAGACCTTGAGAATTTATTTTCCTCCTAAGTAGAAGGAGTACTACTTTACAACCCATTTGCCCCACACAGGGACAAATGTCATCCTGCTTTAACAAATCTTTAACTCGCTACGTTGCCTGAAATTTACTTTTCTTAAGCCTAAACATCTTAAATAACCATCTGAGTGTTACAATCTTCACCATATGACTTCAACTTCAATTTTCAAGCCTTCTTACATAGTACTTTCCCTTCTCCTATCAAACAATAGAGCCAAATCAGCCTTCTTGCCCTTCCTCCCACACTGACAAAAGCTTTTGCCATCTCAGTGCCTTGGCAAAGCCACGCACTCACTTCATCTTTGCCTTTGCCACTTAAAATCTCTAGTTCCTTTCAAAGTTCACCTCAAACACCATTTCTGACAAGGCATTTCCTGATATTTCCAGTTGCTAGTGCTGCTATATCCAAATTATGCTGTGTTTACTTTGCATATTTTGAATACACATATATGTGATATCGTCCAAAACTATAGAACGTAAGCCCCCTGAGGTCAAGGACTATTTCCTTTATGTCTTTGTACCCCCACTGCCTAGCATGATTCTTGGTTCATGGTAGGTGCTTAATAAATGCTTGTTAATTAATTCTGTATTTAACAGAAAAATGAAAGAAAAAAGATTTTGGGAATTTCCCAAACAACATATTAAGTAACTAGATACATGTAATTTATATGTAATTTTATTGTATGCCAACTAACTTAAATAAGAGTAAAAAATATCAATGACTTCTTTCTTCTCTTTTACCTTCAGAGGAAGTATTTTTACATGTTCTGTCTTGGTTTGATTTTTGGCATAAATTTGTGATTTTACTGGTATATGGAAATTCTCTCCAACAGTATCAGTAGTTCATCTGCTGACAGAGTTTTCATCAGGAAAACATGCGTTACACATATTACATTTAACAAAATCTTGTTAATTGAGTAATTGTTAATTGTAGCAGAAGCTACAAATGTTCTTAATTAGTCCTGTTCCCTTGTTAACTTAAAAAGTGATCTGATTTTCCTCCCTCTTCATTTTGATCAAATTAACTAAAATTTTATCAATTTTGGTTGTCTTTTCAAAAAAGCTGCTTTTTTGCTTACCAATTCTATTGTTTTTTCTTTTTCCATTTAATCTATTTCTCCTTTAATTTTCAAAAATTTCTTTTATGCTAATTTTGAGTTTGTTTGCTGATTTTCTAGATTTTTAAATTGGATATCTTAAATCCTCTTTTTCCATTTTATTGACATTTCTTTGTAGAGATATAATTGTTTCTCTGCAGACTGCTTTAATTGCATCCTCAAAACTCTAAGATGTTTTCTCATCATCACTCTCTTTTGCATAGCTATTATTTCCATTATTTTTTTTCTTTGATTCATTCATGATTCAGAAAGTCAATGTAAGGTCTTGGTTTAGGTCTGTATCTTCTGCTTCTGTTTCCTGTATTCCTACTTTTTTTTGCAGTATGGTCTGTAAATGATGGTTTAGTATTTCTGCTTTTTTTTTTCCACATTTATTGATAATTTTCTGGACCACAAATATTCTTATACAGCACACAAAATGCCTTACACAGAGAAAATTAGATTTCTCTAAACAATAATTTGGGCTTTCAAAAGAGTATTATCATGTCATAGAAAAAAACTGACTTAGAAATGAAGTTATTAAATCATTCATAACACAAATGAATGAGACACAAATCATTAAAATTACAGATTTAAAGATTAAAAATCATGTGGATGGCACAATGCTAAGACCTAGTCAATGCAGTGTATCATTCTAATCTCCCTAAAGATTCATATAGGATTTCTTTGCAAATGCAATAATCCTATATTAATAATCCTTTAGAAATGCTAACAATAATGACAATACAGAGTGTTTTAGAGTTTTAAAAGTACTTAACATATCTTACGTCAATGAAGCCCCCAAATAATCCTGTGCCATAGCTATTACAGGTAGTATATTGTCCTTATCTTACACTGGAGAAAACAGATGCTATGAGAAATTCAATGACTTGCCCAGGGTCACAAATCTATTAAGTGTCCAGGGAAAGGTTTGAATCTAATCATTCTGACTCTAAGCCTAGTACTCTATCCATTTTACTACCCTGCCAGATATAATAGTTCTGTGGCTCATGGACAGCACTTCAAATGCAGAAGCAAACATCTGGCAAAAGAGCAGAGGGATGTGCTTAGAGGGCACAGGCTAGGTGAGGTCAAGACAAACTACAGGTATATTATGGAAATAAATCTATTATCCCTCAAGTACTCTGTATTTCTCTGAGATGACTTTCCATAAAGAATGAGTAATAAGCTTGAGAATTCAGCAAAAGAGGCAACATGGTATAATGATTAGAGATCTGTCCTTAAAGGCAGGAAGGCCTGGGTTCCGTCTGACATATATGGCTGTGTGACCATGGCCAAATCACTTAACACCTCAATTTTCTAGGCAACTCTCTAAGACTCTAAGGGGCAGAGGAAGTAAAGACCAGCACTGGTAGGAGTTTCCTCATTCAGAATTCCCTATGCCAGAGAAAACACAGGTCTAGTCTCTATCTCCATCCCTATTTAGAAAAGAAGAAGAAATAGTGAAAATTACTCTATCCTTCTACAGGATTTAAAATCAGTCCTTGAAGAATTCAATTCACTTCAGACTTCCATGAAAATCCTCTTTGTGGAAGGCATTGAAAAATGGCTACAAAGACTATTAAGTAGACAGAGTTAGATTAACAAATTCTAGATATTACCCCTGAGCAAGACCACCTCAAGACTTAAGACAGGAACTTAGTCGGCTTTAGCTCTGCTACTTAACACCTTTTGAAATACTCAACAAACTACAAAATCTTTTCATATGCATCCCATTAACTGAGATATTAACAAAGTATATGGGAAAGTAAAAGACCAAGTTCTTTTTTCTAAGGGCATTTAATTTTAAAAAGAGGTGCTAAGTAAGCTCTGTAGGTCATTTCTATGAGTTCCTTATAGACATGTTTCCTACCTGAGAGGGAGCAGCAGCTCCCTCAATGAAAGATGGGGTCACATTGCCAGCCACAATCCAGCTCATTAAGGAAGAGAGTAGGCTCCGGTCACAGTGATAACCTAAAGCATTCTGCCCAGTCAGGAAAACAAAAAAGAGAAAAGCTGAGAAGACAACAGGAAGAACTTCAAACAACTTCAACTACAATGTCTCCTTAATATAATAAGGCTCTAAAGCTACCCTAAAAAAGTATATGTCCTGGGACTTAAAGGTATTAAGGAGTGCCCCAAGGGAAATTTAATGTTATATTTTTTTTAACTTGCACTACAATATATAGTAAGAGAGTATTTGGCTGCAGACACTAAACCTGTATTCTTTCAACCTAATGGATGCATTAGAGCAATCAGTAGTAGATGAGTATGAAGTAGACCTGGGGGATGGTGGCATCATTTATAAAACAATCTACAGCCTGAAGTGTAGTCAACAATCATAAACAACAAATATTACAAGTGTTTTTACCTTGTGCTGTTGGTAAAGTAGTTTCTGTACACAATCCTCTTGCATATATTGAAAAGCTGCCTTGCATAAATGGTCCATCAAGAAAAGAATGGGCTGTTCTCGGTACCAAAGCTGTTGGCTTATGAGAGCCTGGACCCAGAATTCTAAAACAGCAACAGGCCCCACTTCATTGGGTTTAGTGCTTACAGAAATGTGGGCCTGTGGAGAAAAGTTCCAGCCAATCTGAAATGAAATTAACTATGATCCCACCTCCTATCTCCCAGCATTTTTAAAAGAATTAACAAAAACATCCCCTACCTCCACTACTAAGTCTGAAAGCTCCATAGTATACCAACATCCATGGTATCAACCAAACTACAATGGCGCTAAACTGTATATTAAATGGAATTAAACTACAATTTTTAGGATTGTACCAGAAGACAAGCATATGTCTCAAGATGATGATGCCCAATGACAAAAACTAGATCCATTTCCTGACCTGGATCATGCTGTTGAGAAGCTTCACATTTTCTCCATAGTTGGCTCCGGTCAAGTGCTGAGCCACTTTGTGGGTAACTTGTTGGGTCATTCCTTGAGGAATACCACTATCCAAGTGCAAAAACAGGTGGAGGTATGATAAAAACCTACATATCAAATGGAGAAATACAGCAGACATTCAAAGAAGCTTTAGGAATCAAAGAAATTTCAATGATTAACAGCTAGTAAATCAACAAGGAATGGGAAAGAATTGAACCAATTCTTACTCTTAAGAATCTAATCAGAATAAAACCACATGGAGAAGAAAAGGACAAGAAGGGGAGGGGGGGCGGAATTAAGAACTGGAAACAAAATTCCTTTGGGTTGGCTTTCACAAATCAGAATAGCCCAACATCATTCACAAATTAAAGTACACAAATAAACTTTAAGGATTTAAATCAATTTCTTTTAAAGAAAGCCTTCAAATACAAATTCAGAAGGGGCTAACAATGAACAATTTTCAACAGCCCTTTCCTGAATATGAACATCCACAAACTAATACAAATTAAATTATACAGTTTGCGGAATACGAATGGAAAGAGCTTGCTTGGCAAATAGCAAATCTTTTTTTTTTTTTTTTCATAAAATGAAATCCTACTCCCTAACAAATTTTGGACCCAAATGGGCAAACTGTTATAGTTCAATAAGAAAAAAGATTACCACCCTCAAAATTTTACAAGAAAAACACTTTAGGCAAAATTTTACAAATATCTACAGAAAATGCCTAGTACTCCTACTTTATGTCCATAACTATACTGTGGTGTCTAACCTCCATCTATAACTTACAATCTAGACCACCCCCCCTTTACCTGTCCCCAACCTGTTACCCAACCTTATCTTTTAACTGCTTTTCATCCAGTCCACTGCTCTGGAAAAAATCCTGGATTTCTCAGTAACCCTCAAACATCTCCTATTCTTTTCTACCTCAGCCTCATTTTCTCCACCAATCCACACCCTGTGCATTCTCACCGACAGGACAAGTCCCACTGCTCCCATGATACTGCCCCTAATCCCACTCTCACCCCAACTGGTTCCTCTCCCTGCTCTGTATTCCCTCTACACTTAGGAATCCCATATTAGTATTCTTTGCTATTATATTACTTTGTCATTATTTTATAGATGTTTCACATATTTCCCACAACACTAGGCTAGAGTCACATTAATCTGCTCCCCTTGTATGTTCCCCTTGTAAATAAACAGCACATACCCCAAAAAGAAATACAACGAAGATGTTTAAGATAAATGCTAACTCTAAGTTTCCTGTTGCTACTCTGACAACTCCTTTGCTAACTGCTACCAGAAGCATCTTCTCTCTAACTGGTAGAATTGTTCTTTCTAGTGTCTGGCTTTGAGCAATCAGGAGATATTTTTTAAACCCATTATCAAAAAATTAAAACAATACTTGAGCCCTTAGCAGATATACTGCTTACAAGTCTAAATACTAATCCAAGGAAGTAGCATGTTTTGCTCCACACAAGAAAAATGTTTGCTAAAACATTATTACCTACAGTTTGTTGGAGAAAACAAAACGTAATGCCCATACCACAAATGACTAATCTACACAGCACAGGCTATACTTACAGTTCATTCTTCAAAAGGTAATACTGGCAAGGGTAAAACATGGGCAAAATCTTATCCAGAACATGTACTACTGTTCGCAGATGCCTAGACTGGACCAGGATCCCCAACAATGGAATGCCTTCTGCACAAAATTTCTCAATGCTGCCAGGAGAAAAAAAAGGTAATATGGTTCTAAGAATAAAATGTGGAGACTGATATGATATTATACTAAACATGTTTCAGGTCTTCAATATAGTCATTTGCTGCTGCTAAGAATTTTCAGTCAGTAAATAGTAAGCTGGATAAGTTTCAGAAAAATAACTATCTCCTGCAAGATACAGAGGCTATAGTAGATCTCTTTCTCTAGATGGCCACCTAATCTGCCTAAAAGACATTACAAAAATCAGGCATGTCTCAAGTTCATATCAATCCTGCCTTGATCAGGTGACCTAGAAATCATACACTGTGAGTTTAGCCATTGAAGTTCTTTACTCATGTTTTTATCTAGAAATCTGAAACGCAGCTAAACTACTACGTACAGTTAGAAACTACCATCAGGCAACTAGTTTGTACAGTGGATAGAATGCTAGGTTTGGAGTCAGGAAGACTCATATTCCTGAGTTCAAATCTGACCTCAGACACTTACTAGCTGTGTGACCCTTACTTAACCTTGTTTGCCTGAATTTTCTCATTTGTAAAACGAGATGGAGAAGAAAATTAAACCACTTCAGTATCTTTGCCAGAAAACCCCAAATGGGATCACAAAGAGTCACACAAGACTGAAAAATAACTGAACAACAACAACAAAGAAACTACATCTGTGTTCAGAGCACCCAGGGCTAAAAAGATAAAACTCCAAGTTTAAAACAGATATTAGGGAAATAAAGAAATGTTTCATAAAGGGGGCACTCCTTAAAGACAAGAGAACTGGACAAGATTAGCACACATTTGAAGCCTTCCCAAAGGCACTCAATAGATTATTCTCATCCTATTACTCCCCTTTTCCATTAAAACTTACAATGACTCCCAACTATCTCTCACAATAAGCCACAAGATTATAGGGTCATATATTTTAGGGTTAAAAGGGGTCTTAAGTCAGTCCAATCCTCTCATCTTAGAGACTAAGGCCCACAAAGGCAGAGTGATTTGTCTAATGGCATACAGGTAATAAGTAGCTGATCCAGAATTCAAACCTAGATCTTCTGACTCTGGATCCAGGGCTCTTTTAGGTATCTGGAAATCAGAAGTCAGATGTATGGGCCAATATGAGGATTTGAAAAAAAGGAAAAAAAAAGTCCCACTGTCTAAGACTACTATCACTTGAAGAAAATATTCCTTATGATCATGTACTTTGCTTTGATTTTATATTTACAAAACCTTGTGATTTTATTCCAGCTTCCCAAACAAAATTCTTTTCTGACTGGCTGACATGAATATACCAGTCTGCCTGACAATTATACTTATTACAAAATAATAAATTAGCTTTCTGGTACAGCTGATTAAAAAATTGAGTGTCTACAACGTACAAAGTCCTATAAGAACATAAGGATGAGAAAGACTTAATTTGCTCTCAAAGATCATGAGTTTAGGCAGCCTGAATCACTTTCCTCAGGCCTGATCACCCCAGATAAGTTATTTAGTGGGTTTAGCAATTTTTTGTAGGCACCCTGTCCTTGGAAAACAAATATTATTAGATATAAGTATTATTCTGTACCTATGGCCCACAGTTGTCATAGATAAGGCTAGATAACAGCCAATGGGCATGCCTGCTTTCACAGCTTTCAGTAGGGGATGAAATGTGGGTGATTCATTCATATCCGGCACAGTGCTGGAGAAAGGAACTGTAGGACAATTCTGTTGCATTCCATAATCATTTTTGTGAAGCTTTAATCTCAAAATCAAGTTCCAAGCCCATTGGTTAAATGAGGTCTCAGGTGTCTCTCCATAACGTACAATACTGGCCAAATACGAAACCTAAAACAATTTTAAAAAGACATCATCAAGACAAATTTAATTAATCCCCTAAGTCCCTTTCAGTTTCCACTAGACACAAATTGTATCCATGTGCTAGAAAGTGAATAATGCACTGCTGGCACTCAGTCTTCATGCAAAAAAAAAAATGATAATAATAATAATGATGCTTACCTAACACCACTGAGGTCACTTGCCAGTACTTCATAATGCACACTTGGTAAAACCAAGGAAAAGAAAGAAACCATGAAGGGCACATGAGGAGTAGGAAGAGCTGTGTTCAGGTACAACTCTCCAGTGGTAAAATGCTTGTACGAAAGCTTTTACTCAGAGCAAAGTTCCTTGTCCAGTCCCAGAGTTTAATTACTGAACAACATCAACTTGTCATGAAACTTGATGATGCCGTGACATAACTTAATTTTTCCAACATCCTCAAAAAGCAAAATTTTACATAATCAATATTTAAGTAGTCAGAGGAAAAATAAATACCTGTTTTATGCTTTCAGAAAGTAACCCAGCATATGGTTTCTGAGTTAGGTACCTCTGGTAAGCTTCAAGAATCACTAATGCCACTTCAGCATGAACAGTCTGATTCAGATGAAGTGTATCCTTTTAAAGAAGAAAAAAATGACAATATGCTGGAGGTCTTCCTCTAAGTCTTTTTCTTATACTTTATAGGTACCAGGGCAGCCCTCAGGCTATCTGGTATCTTTTGCTATAGTAACTACAATAACCCTCTAGCTTGTCTCCAATTATTCAAAAAACATTTACTGAGTACCTATTACATACAAGGCACTATGTGAGGTCCTGTAGCAGACACAAAGAATAAATCACAGTATTTCTGTCCTTATGTAGCTTACAGCTTAGTCAGACAAATAAAATGTGCACAAATAACTATAAATAGGGTATAACATGAAGTGACAATAACAGAGGAACAAAGTGTAAGGTTAGTTTTTCCTGCCTCCTATTTCTCCCCATTCCATCACGATAGCTGATAGTAACCTCTCAGTAGACTATGGTAGCAAAGTATAAGCACTACTGCCTGGTTTTCAAAGCTCCCCAATTATCCTTCCTCCTACTCAATTTTATTCCTTACTATACCTCAACACATACCCTGCAATCTAGTCAGAATAGTCTTCTCACTATCCTCTAACACACTATCCTCAACTCCATGTCTTTTTTCTTGGCTAAAAATAATAATAACTAATGTTTATATAGAACTTCCAGGTTTACAAGGCACTTTAAAAATATTATCTTCACAACTTTGTGAATTAAGCGCTATTATCATCCTTCTTAAAACTGAGGAAACAATGTAAGATGCTAAGTGATTTGTAAGGGTCACAGAGCTTATGTGTCGAAGGCAAGATTTGAGGTCAGGTCTTTCTGACTCTTAATCCTGCACTCTGTCCACTGTCATGTAGTAGCTGCTTACTGTTCATCTTCTCCCCCTAGAATGCCTCTCTTCATTCTTCAATCCCAGTTCAAGGCTTACCCCACCCGCCACCCAGGTTATGTCCCATTCCCTCAAGAATGTCTTCTCCAACTATACCAGCTCAAGCCAGTATCATTCCTTTCTCTGAATTCCTATAGCACTTAAACTAGGAAATTTCACTATACAGCATTTAATTTGTTCTTCTCCACTGTTCTCAGTGCTCCAACTAGATATAAGTTCCATGAAGGTAAGGACCATAGCATATACATCTCTACATTCTTCCTCTCAATATCATACCATCATCACTAACATTACAGTGATAGGCACAAAGTAATCATAAACACTTTCTAACTGATTAATCACTCAACTAACAAATGATGAATATAATAAGTCTATTGTCCTTTTTCCTAGTCAGAATTATATAACTTCAAAGAATTATATAATTTTTAAGACTACAGATTCTGCTCCCATCATTTTATAGATAAGAAAATGAGGCCCGGGGAGGGGAGCGATATGATAAGTGTTTTTAAAATAGTAAGTTTGTAGCTTTGTGAAGGCCAGATAAGAGAAGAAAGAAAAACATAAAGACTAAGAGGGTATCTAAGTGTGTATATATCAAATAACACATGTGTCTAAGTATTAATGAAAGCAAGCTCAATTTGTTATAATTCACTTTCACTATAGAGCAAGATCACATTACAAAGAAGAAAGTGAAAAAAATTCTAAATTCTGAAGTAGTTAAAAATTAATTTACCTTAAAAAGAAAAGCATTTATATAATAGCCTCATAATTTATTATCACTAAAATCACAATGTTTTATTAAAAAAAAAATGCCTTTGAAACCAGAGAATTGACCAATTCCATAGCATACTGTTTAAGGCATACCTGTTCTCCAAATCCCCAATTCATTCCTTCCAGAATAACACAAGCCAATTTATTCTTCACAGCTGACAAATTGTAATTCAGTAACCAATCCCGAATCACAGCTATTTCAGAGGTAGATGGTTGCCACAGATACAAAGGCAGCTCTTTAAACAAGTATAAGGAAACCTTAGTAAAAGGGGATAAAAAAATTAATGAAGATCAAGAATTAATATAAAGATATGAGTAGTTATGGAGAGGGGAGGAAGAGAGACATTTAAAAATATATAGGGGAGATTCTAAATTGGAGCTCTTCATTTCTAACTCTTCAATTCCTAGTTTCTTCAAAAAGTAGTTTTTCCCAGGCATAGTAGCTTATGTATATAATCCCTGCTACTGGGAGGCTAAGGCTAGCAGATGGCTTGAACTCAGGAGCTCTAAGCTCTAGTAGGGCTAAAATCAATTGGGTATCTGAACTAAGTCAATCACCAATCAATGAGTTGATGGGTGGGGGGAGGGAAAGTAGGAAGAGAGAGGTCCACCAGGCTGCATAAGGAAAAGTCAAACTGACTCACATCAGCTTTGTACATGACCAGCAGTAGGATTAGGTCCATGAGTGTACATTATAATGTTCAGCCTGAGTGAGACAGAGAACTAGGCTAAAAAAAAAAATCTTGTTTTTGTTTCTTTGTTTTTTAAAACAAGGGAAATAGAAAACAATAGGAACTATCAACACAAAATTGGAAACATGATTGTTTATACATAAAAGGCAAATTTTGTAACCCTGTTTTCAGATCAATTCTTTTTTATATAACAAGTAGTAACTCCTTAACCTGAAGAAAACCATAACGCAAAAGTGTAGGCTTACAATACTGATAAATGTGAAGTAATAACTCCCTTCACAAAAAGATTCAGTACAAATTTCCTTTATATAGACAAGTTCTCAATTGCATTTAAAAGATGATTCCAATTTACAGGACTTTTCAGGAGCATGCCTTTTATTAAAGTCAACATAAATTTATATTCTTCTAATAACATTCCACTCCACTCATTGTTGAGTGGAGATGGCTCTGGGTTCTTAAAGATTATGCCAGGAGAGGGTAAACTGGAAAGAAATCTGGTAGAAATTAGGTTTAAACCAACACCCACACCATATACAAAAATGAAAGTTGTATCATAAACAATTTAAAAGCAAATATTCTTTCATATCTACTAATTGAGAAAAAGTTTATGATCAAACATGGGATTACAGATCGGTTTGATTAAACAAAATTAAAAAGGTTTTGCACAAACAAAACCAATGCAATTAAAATTAGAAAGGAAACAGGTAACCTAGGGGGGAAAAATCTTTGCAGCAAGTTTCTCTGAGAACACTGTCATTTCCAAGATATAAAGAACTGAATGAAATTTCTAAAAACATAAGCCATTCCCCAACAGATAAAGGGTCAAAGGACAAAAATGGGCTGTTTTCAAAGGAGGAAATCCAAACTATCAACAAACAAAATTAAAATGCTACAAATCACTAATGCATGAAATGTAAATTAAGGCAATTCTGAGGTTCTATCTCATATTAACAAATTAACAAGTATGTCAAAAGTGGAATATAACAAATGTTGGAGGGACTACAGGAAAAACAGACACACTAATGCACCATGGGCAGTAGTTCTGGTTCAACCATTTAGGAAAGCTATTGGAATTTATGCCTAAAATGTCATTAATTGTGCATATCCTTTGACCCAGCAATACAACTGTTAGACCCAGATCCAAAGAGATATATAAAGGAAAATATTTATATATTTAAATATGTTTCTAGCAATACTTTTTCTTAAAATTAAGGGGGTACCTATCAACTGAGGAATAGGTGAACAAATTATGGAATGTGAATGTAAATAATGACAAAGATGGTTATAAATAAATCTGGGAAGACTGTACAAATTGACTTAGCTGAATCAGTTGTAGTGGCCACAAAGACACTGTGGCAAATATAAATATAAAAAGGAAAAGTCCTTTAAAAACTCCAAGTTCTATGGTGATTAGAAATCAATTTTAACATTGTACTAAACTGAGATAACTAATCATAACTGCTAATTCATTGCTGGAATTGAATAAACATTAAACAGGCCTACAATTTACAAAACAAACATTCATGTTTTTATCTATTTTATTTTTTTTAACCCATCTTATCTATTTTTATCTACTTTAAGCATGTGATATAAAATAAGCAGAATTGAAATTTTAGTGGATTCATACAAAGTTCTGATAGAATCGTGAGAAGGCTACTGACCAAATCGGCCTAGATCCAAAGCAAGCTAAGTATTAACAAATCATTAATTGTTTTCTGTGTCTCTTTCCATCCAAGGTTCAATATTGGTTGACTTTTTTTTTAATCTTTTTCAACCAGAGTTGCTCCTTCCTAGTATAACACACTTGAGAAATACAAATGGACTCATTAAAATAAACAACTCTGATTTACTAATGGCATATAATTGAGGCAGAATTGCTTGGAGAAAAAAAAAATAGCTCCAAACAAAGAAATGTAAATAAAAAGATTCTTCCTTCAGTGGACCTGAAAGTATTCAGTCTTTGGCAGATATACTCAATTCCAATCTGTTTTCAAATAATATCCTTACCATACCAACTTGGTCAATGGTCTCTTTAACACTCTCCAAAAGGACAGAAATGATTGCAGGATGAACAGCAGTAATAGCTCCTAAAAGCTCTCGACCAACTTTTGAAAAGGTCTCTCTGGTGGAGAGGTTAACATAAGATACCTAAAGAAAAGGAAGATGGCATTTTTAATATCATTCACTAGAACAAATGCACTTACAAAGTACAAGTGTTTTCAAGAAAAAGAAAGATTATTCTACATCAAGCTCCAGATCACAGCTTTATTCCAAAAGATTACAGAAAGAGGACCAGCATGTACATGTTTACCCCATGATGATATAAAATACCCAACTAAGCAAAAGCATCCTAAGTTTGCAAACAGGAGAAAAATTACTTCAGATGAGCTGAGTAATGTGTTAGAATTGAAAAAAGGAAGACAAGTTTTATCAATAAAAACAAATCTTTTAATGGAACTGCCACTTGTAAAATGAAACTCCTAGCTACGATATTATAAACTACCAATGCTTCTTTAGTATGTTTCTGGGAGCAAATTCTTATTAATGAATCCCATAAATATTTACTAAATATCTTCTCTATGTAAGGCACTATGCTAAGCACTACAGAAAATATAAGGAGGACTTCAACATTTCCTGGCTCTCAAATTTACAATCTAGTAAGAAGAAGTAACACACAACTACTGCCTTGGTCTAAATACAGACTGCACAATTTTTGCCCAAAATCTGACTTGTAAAAAACCTGAGTACAACCACTAAATGTACTCTAAGTACTAAAGACTGCACACTGGTATTATTCCCAGCAGTGGCAAAAGCTTCTCCAATACTTATACACGTGCCCAAGCCTATGCTGGATGTACCTGGCACTAATGTGAGCCAAAATAAGTAGATTTCTTCCTCTCATCTTCTAAGAAACTGCCAGCATTCCTGCCCTTCTAAATAGCAATCTCACAGCAAAACCCACCAACTCTCTTTCCTTCCCCTCATGTCCCTGAACCTAGAGAAACATTAGGTAGGTAGTGGCAATAGTACCATTCTAAGTCCCCCTCTCCAAAGAGTCTGCACTTTCTTCTATAACTCAGTCTCTACTTGCCTAGACTGTTGCTCATAGCAGCAGATGTGGCTCTTCGAAGCTCAATGCCACAAAGCAGATTTTTTTCTAAATTAATCCCAAAAGACTCAAAGGATAAGGAGGAGAAAGGAGTTTTTCTGGCTGGTTGTTCATCCCAAATTTGCTTACCTCATAAATCTCCAGCACAATAACTTTTATAAAGTCTTCATCCACATTGGTCTTTCTTGCCTGAGCCATCTGAGCAAAAGTAGTAAGAAGGCAAATTTCTTCTGAGCTATTCATGGCAGAAATATAATTTTCAAAGCTCAAAAGATGCGCTGGGTCTGAAAATTCAGATCAAAGCAATTAAGGGGGAGAAGGACAGAGATAACTATATCACATTAATATTATTAGCCTATTCATTTTGCCACTAAATATAGAAAATACAGAAAACTTATTAAGTCTGAAAAACTCTAAAGGGCATTCTATACTGTAAAAAGGATCTCAGAATCTGAAGAAAGTTCTATTAGAGGTCCTGTAAGCTCCATCACAACTCCAAAACACAGTTGTCTGACTTTAGCCCCAAAATATCTTTTTTACAAAAGAAGAAAAAAAACTAGAATGCAAAAAAACTAGTTAAGAAAAAAAAATTTACTCATAAACTGATATCTATTCAGAAAACAGAACTGCACTGCATAATTCAAAAACTGAAAATATGAATCTTAAATATGATATGTTATTTGGTGTTGGTTTCTCAGAAAAAGGTCCCTATATATGGAGTACTGTATCTTGTCACCAGAGGGCAGTACATACATGCAGCAGCTCTGTGGAACATTTGTTTCTTGTGGCCCAAACAGAAACTCTTTCTAGGGAAGCAGGGC